TCAAATACTGGCCATCGTCCGTTCTACTGGTAGTGGAGAGTCCGAAATTGCTCAGGCCGGTCTCAAGGCTCTGGCGAGTATACTACGAGAGTGCGAGGGCGCTCAGGTCAAAGAGAAAGATCTACTCTTCTTGATTGAATTGGTTTCACCCTACCTCGAGGACTTCGACAGGCAGAGCACCGTTTTTGCGTTACTGAGAGCTATTGTGGCACGACGATTGATTGTACCTGAGCTTTACGACGTTATGGCTGACGTATCCGCTATCTTGGTCACGTCACAAGCGACACAGACTCGCGAGTCCGCTCGATCCCTTCTTCTTCAGTTTCTCCTCGAATATCCTCAAGGCTCTGGAAGACTGCAGACCACCCTCGGTTTCTTTGCCCGAAATCTTTCGTATGAACATGCGTCAGGACGTTCCAGTGTTCTCGAACTCTTAGGTGCGCTTGTGAACAAGTTCGACTCTGCATTGCTGGCAAAACACGCGGAGATGATCTTCGTTGCCCTTGTACTCTGTCTTGCCAACGACGAGGATAAGTCTTGCAGAGAAGCTTCCGCATCAGTCCTTCAAAGCTTGATCAAGAGGTTGGGAGAGGACGAGAGAAAAGTACTTGTTGGTCATCTGCACGCGTGGGCCAGTCAACAAGGGCAAGCAAAACTTAGGGCGGTTGCGGTGCAGGTATACGGGCTCATCATCGACGCTTTACAGCGAGAGGCTTCTCCGCATGCCGCTGCCCTGTTCGCCGATGTTCAAGAGATCTTGGACGACAGCATTCAGTCGCTGACCCTGTTGGATGGCGATGGCGATGGCGATGGAAAAGACATGGATGTTGACGTGGAATGGCAACCGCCGTACCAGGCAATACTTGCTGTCTCGAAGCTCTTGCAGACCTTGCCTGACCATACGCTTGATGCGATAAAAACCACCCAGGACAAACTCGTCCCATACCTCCTCTTTCCACACGCTTGGGTACGCTCAGCAGCTTGTCGGCTGTTGGGCGTGTTCTTCGCATTTTACGGCCCTACCCCCACTCTCGAGAATTCGCACCTTACCCTCCAGTTGATGAAAGATATTGCAGAGAAGCTATGCACACAGTTGAAGAGCTCCAATCTCGACGCACCTCTTGGTCTACAGATTGTGAAGAACCTTTTCTTCGTAGGAAAACTATTCTGCACTGTCCCCTCTTCTTCGCCCTCCGGGAGTAATACCAACCACACAGCCGAGACGGACTCGGATGGTGGTGAAAGCGATGACTCCGCTGAACAATTAAAACCTACGCAAATGAGCCGAGAAAAAAGCTCTCAGGATCCCCTACCTTGGCTCTTCTCCAAGCTGTCGTATCAAGCTCGCTCAGCCCACATCGCACGGCGGAACCGCGGTAATGCCCCTGTGAGTTCGGTTAATGCCATCAAATCTAACTTTCTCTGACTTTCCTGTTTCAGAATCAAACAACCTGGTCGTTGGCTCCCTTGTCCATTCTGCGCTTCTTTGCTGCCATGGCGTCTCACATGGAGGCCACTCAACTTGAGCGGTTCTTGACGCACATACTTACACCTGTTTATCGGATAACGGAGGACGATACAATCCGGGATGCCGGAATGGGTATGCATTATACTTCTCAAGTTGGTCATATATTCATAGCATTGCAGAGGAGCTGAAAGTTACGGCCACCGAACTTCTTGACTTGCTTCAAAACAAAGTTGGCACGACGGTTTTTGCCAATACGTACAACCGCATCAGGCAGGGAGCATCTAGCATCCAGCAAGAAAGACGAGTAGCGCGGGCCACGAAGGTGGGTTGGGTTCTATTCATCTTGCACCAGTACTCATCACTTCGAGCAGGCGACCACCAACCCAGAAGCTGCTGCCAAACGGAAATTGGCTCGAAATGTAGGCAAGAAGGAAAGCCGGAAGAGAAAGAATCGTGCCTTTGCGTAAGTGATACAAAGAGCTGTTTATTCACAGACTAAGTCGGACGCCAATTTACAGCGACAGCAGAGGGAGGCTGAAGAGACAAAAAGAGGGAGAATAGTATCACTCATCCGAATCGTCAATAATTTATTTTACATTTCTTACATTGTTTGCTTATAACACTCAATTACATTGCTTGTTCTTTCTTTCTACCTGTTCTTGGCAACCAGAAGCCGCAGTTCACTTGATTGATGTCGGTGATGTGGAATAAGATCGGCTTGGATGTTGTTCAGACATAGGTCATAAGAGAATTTGTGTCATTTCAGGAACCGACCAAATCAGAAGCAGTGTAGATATATTAATATTTAATTAATTTAATTCTACCAGCGTTGTCGTCATCAGGTGTTGCCTGGTGTTGCACATCCGCGAAGGGAGGTTGCTGCCGCTAACAATGGATGATCGCGAGGCGCATGTGCAGTATACTTAGGATCTGGCAATGGACCCCCTCGCACTGTAGCAGTAAACATAGTTGTCTGAATAGTAAGTCCTTGGTGTCGGTAAGTAGGTCAGCTGTAGCAAACTACAGGGTTCCAAATGTTCATACCCAGATTGTGCATAAAAGTCGGTCTCTGATATGAGCATATGTCATATGGTAGTAGGATGCATTGATTTCGCCGCGATCGATCCTTGATTCCTTTTAAACGCATGCCGACCAGTGCGCCCCCTAGTGTCGCCAAGGAAAGATACAAGTTATTGAAGGAGGCACTGCATAGGAATGGCCCGCCTCGCTGGTTCCGAGCTTCTTAAAACAAAACGTCGGTGACCTATGCACATCGTTAGTGAAGCGCTTACTATTTCGCCCGTCAAGGATCTTCCATCACTAGTAGCTCCCCCGTGCTTGTGCAGAGGTTCATTTCGTTTAGGGTTAATTCGGGGACTGGGGTGCCAGGGAAGGTCGGGAGTAGATCAGTCATTGAGTCCGGAACAGTAGGGAGGGTATGTAGTGCGTCCAACTAGCAGCTTGTCCATATATAGTAATATTCTTGACGTTGCTTGCAAGATTGCACATAGTGAGCACTGAGGACGTGTGGGATACAGTGAGCTTTAGTAATACATGGTTTTATTCCAACATTAAACATGATACGATACGATGTGATGCGCGGGAATTATGACTGCTGACGTGCCACGCAGATGGGATTGAATGTTCAGATGGAGTAGGAGAAGTGGATATTCTGCGATTGAGACAATCATGAATACATGATATACGGGGGTACGGTTCATATCCATCGGCGGAGAGGTTTTCGATCGCTGGACCCATCCAAAATCGTCAGAAGATAGTCTGCTGGCATTCCAGATAGTATATAGTCGAATGCAAGGCTATTGGTGGATAGGTTCTTGCTAAAACCATAAAAAAACGGCACTCAGCACATAAAAGCAAGCCATCCTCCTACTGACGCTTCAGATTTATTTCAACCTATATCACATCCTCGCACATCATGCGTTTCTCCTCTGCGATTGTCCTCGCTATCGTCGCTGTATTGGCGGCATCAAGCTCTGCCACGCCCGTTGAGGGCTCTGCCACAGATAAATGTGTCACATGGTGCTTCGGTGACGGGGCTTGCGCTGGCTGTGAGTGGAAGCAGTGCGTAAGTATTGGTGATTTTTGGATTTGATGACATGACTCACCTGTATGACAGTTTTGGTTTTTATGCGCGGTGAGTCGTGTTTCTGCTTTCACATCAGTGCAGTATAGCTGTTGGCACTGACACGCGAGTTACTAGTAATATCTTGAGTTCATCAATGGGCCGTCAGGAAAACATCGATAGAGTGAGGGTGATTTTCATTTGATTTGGAAATGACACTTAAAGACGACAATAATATTGCGGTATAGATCAGTCCATGGTGCAGTGTCAGTGACTGTTGCTGAATCGCCGTAACGGATATGAACCTGTAGATCGTATATTTATACATATCTGCACCTAGTAATAAAAACACACCTATTTCACCCTTGTCCGAGTCTACTTTTGACTTTTCAAAAACGTTCGTCAAGATCTCAACTCGGGTAAGCGCGATGTGGACGGAAAAGCTTTACATGATTATCGTCTATAATCATCATGCGCCTGTGAACTTCTATACATTTCTAATTTGAGCATGTGTGCGCACGAGACACTATGTCGGTTAGCGGTAAATTGTTGATGATGGGTGCGACTGATTTTTGCATTACCAATAGTTAATGTACAGCTGTAACCATTGGTCGATTAACCATGTCATGAGAATTTTCAACTCATATGGAGGCTCGGAATTTTTGGAGATGACTTCCTCGAGGTGTCTTGAGTGCATTTGGTAGAAACACGAATGTTCTGGTAGTAGTTCCTGTTGAGATTCGAGGCATGCATCTTGCTGGGTATGGCATCGGCCCAGGCCCGAGCACTGAGCATACTCAGGCTGGTGGAGAATATGATTCAGACTGGTGGGTCTACATGTAATAGCACAAGTACGAGCGGCACTTACCGAAATAGACGAATCTCTGTTTTTCCACGGAATATTAATGACATTGAGATTGGCCTGGGCCCTGGACAGTGTCATAAGAGAATTTGTATCATTTCAGGAAGTGGAAACCGGCCAAATCAGAAGCAGTGTTTACCCAGCGTAACCGGTAGTTCTTGTTCATTTGCAAGCTTGTCGTCATCAGGTGTTGCACATCTGCGAAAGGAGGTTGCCACCGCTAACAATGGATATGATCGTGAGGCGCATGCGTATACTTAGGATCTGGGCCTGGCGGTGGACCCCTCGCACTCTAGCAGTAAAAATGACTGTCTGAATTGAGTAAGTCGTAGGTCGGCTGTAGCAAGCTACAAGGCAGTCTCAGATATGAGCATACAGTAATAGTCTCACTTGGCAGTACATGATGGTCGAGAAGTGAGTGTGGCACGGGCCCGACTGCACGTGCCACGTGGGAGTGAGGAGTGGTCCAGACTCCACAGAACCACAATTGTACACCAATATTTACGGCGTTGGCGTACAGCCATCTATGGACATGACCCATGCCTTGCCCTCTGACCACTATCGTGATCACTTGACAACATACTAAGATGGTGAGAGCAGAACGAAAATATGTCGACCTCATCCGGCAGAGTACCTTAGGCCTCTTCGCTAACTGGGATCCAGAGAACCCAATCAAGGTCAGCGATATCGCGTTGATATGATAGAAGGCGTACGCTGACTGAATGGCGCAGGTCGGATCGTACGGCCGTTTCGACCTTGATACATCACGATTCACTGTCCTCGGCAACATCTATGATCCAGAATTCCAAGTCCTACTCGATGCTGTCCATGGAAATTTCAAGATGTCAGACTATCCGCCAGAGTTGGATCCAGTAGAGCAGGATATGATTGTCACCTCCACGGGTGCTAGGAAGCATCTCTTTGATCCAGGGCCAAATGCGTGAGTGCAACTGAGAGGGTTTTGTCGTGTTATCGTTCTGACTGTCTGCTAGCAAGAAAGAGAACTTTAAAAGAGCTTCATTCAAGATGAATTTCAAGTTTCTCTCAGGCAAGCGAAGTGCTGTTCTCATCATGCACAAGCCCCGTCTGCAACATATTCCACGTAATAAAGTCCTCGACGTGCTATACAGAATACCAGAATTCAATGGTCTGTTCATCGTTCCATCAGTCTACAAGTGCCGCGCATGGTCCATCTATCTGTCAAGTAAACGTATGTTATTTCTGTTCCAGTCCGTGAATAGTTCTCATGTCCATAATCAAGTCGAAGAGATTGTTTCTATAGCACTTCTTCCGTCGAAGGTTGGCTTCGACCTTGAGTGGTGGTGCAGCTCGGATTCGGACTTCCTGCGCCAGGGCACCGACAAGGATAGCTTCGCTTCACCACTCTTCTCAGGAAAACAAAAACTACCGTTGATCCGACGTTATATGCGTGGTATGCCTGTACCAGACCCTGAACCAGGCGATAAATTGTGTGTTGCCTCTGTAGCATTTGACAGGTTGATCACGCTTACTGATTCGCAACATAGCTGGATAGATGGATGTCCAGGTTGGGAGCCCGTTGATGAGGATGGTTATGATGATCCTATATGGGAAGAGGTAATTTTCGATTTCTCCTTGGTTTCGGAAATCCTCACTTGGTGTTATTCCCGCAGGATTATGAGCCGAATGTCGCGAGAGTGTGGCGACGCATCATGTGTAAATCTTCCACGCAGTGGTGAATAATTTTACCACCTGATCTTCTTTGTGTATTGTAGCAAGGACAGGTATCACGGATTTTGTAGACAGACGAATTTGAACACTAGTATGTACGTTTCTCAGGATGTGGCTGTGCAAACTGCAACCGCAGCCAGAGATCGATCGGATCGTCAAATGAAGGTTTCAAATTCAAGTTGAATGTTGCATCAATGAACGTTGCTGCTTGCAAGTACTGCGGTATCATAAACTAGTATAGCGCCGCATCTCCTGTTGATCCAATTCAAATCACAGTCGTACTGCCCTCCAGTTTTCGGCATTCCTCTGATATCCGAGTCATCATAGCCCGATGCCCGAGGGATTCAAAGACTCGTACGCTGAGCGCTCGTGCTAACCGTGATCCTAACTTCAGGAGTTTGAAAAGGAACAACTACCTTCATTTGTCTACGGTCAGTCAGAATGTTAGGCACTGAGAACCTAGAGGGGTGCTTGAATGGCAGTCCAGGTGAGTAATCCGTTGGGTCTCTCTGTTCTATTTCATATCTGACTTTCCGCAGACTGATGTCATGTGAATTGTGACCTTGGTGGCGGCCTAACCGCGGAGGGAGCTGTTACGCTACCCAACCCCGGACCGGCGAAGCAGAGAGAATTGGAATATCAGTTTATCAAACAAAGGCTGTTTCGGCGGTTACGAGTCACTGAGCCTGTGTACAATGGATGAACCACACGGTTTCACTGATGGAACTTGTTCGATGATGCAAATGTAACAAGAAGATCTTGAGGATGATATCAACCCGAACGAATTGCACAATTCTTCCATCTTTTGCGGTGTTCAAACGTTCCACCCGTGGGATGTACGGCCGAAAAAAATCTAGTTTGTTACAATTGATTGCACTGGATTGCCTTCCTTTGTACTCGATCTCATGCGACCATGCTTCGGTTAATGAACAATCAAGATGGGAACGGGTATAATCGTTATGATGCTAATTTTGGTTCACTACAAGCGCTGGTATGGCGGGTATTTAGCATGAACGCTATCGTCATATGTCTACCACGTTTGCCGCTCCCCTGCATCCATCCTCAAACAATATGACAATAGTCTCAGATAATCCCAGCTGGTGGCCCTTTATCAATTCGAGTCGCATAGCCAGCTATTTCGCAGGTTCGTGGAGCGCTATTCAGACGATATCTCGATCTAACATTAGTTGCGGTTTTACAGTTGCGGCCTCTGCTGGAGTGATGTACGATTGGGGTGAGTAACATAGCATTAGGGAAACAACCGGCATTCAACTTACGGTATCTGCAGTACTGACACTCGGACAAGAGGTGGGTTGATGACGTTACCGGAGCAGTCAGCGCGCTAACAATGATCTTATAGGTCGAACTGATCTGGGTAAGCAGAGTCCCACCACCGAAGAACAGTATAACAATACAAGTGATCTCTCGCAGAGACAACGCTGGTCTCTCATGACCGTCCTGTACCTCGGTGTGCGTAGTTTGCATTTCAAGTGTGATTGATAAGTTATGCTGACTTGAAAACGTCTAGTTGCGCTACCTTGGAATATTATACGCTGTGTAGGTTAAATGGCTAAGCAATGGGCGCTCTGCTAATCCGTATATCACATAGCTTCAGCAGTCTTCGTACTGTATTTCCTCGCATATATTGTTTCATTATTCTAACCGGCGGCATACAGTAAATGTACTAACAATCCCGGTGACCTGATACAGTGAGTATTTTGCACTGATTCCTGTCCGTTTCCTGTCTCATCAACTGCACTCCCATGTAGGGGTGAGTAAGATACCTGATGTTGGTTCAATATAATGACTGCCGTAGATGTGAGTTTGATTGGAGTATGATCCTCCGAGGTTGATCGCTAACGTCTGGGTTTGTCAGGCCATACTATGTATCTCACAATGAATTGGGCAGGCGTCGTCGCTTTTCGCCATAATCTGTGGTAAGCTATGCAGCTAGTGATACCTCAATTATACTGAAACACTGTGCAAGCGATCATGACCGCTCGGTTGCATGCCATGTATCAGCAATCTAGACGTTTATTTATTTGTCTCATTGTCATCTTCTTGGCAGTCAACATCACGAATGGAATAATATTTGCAATAGTGATGAAGGGTAGTTTGGAGGGTAAGTCATTAGTATGGAAAAACTTCGTGTCAAGGCTCATCGGGGAATATAAGAGGAGCTCATTCTATCTGGCACCTATCGGTGCACCGTTAATGGAGATATCTCACTCCTGTCTTCTATGAATTGGATGCTTGCTGCTATATGGGAGGTCCTCGCATTGTGTCTTATAGTTTGGATTGTTATCAAGCACCTTCGTGGACTCCAACGACCGTGGGCGGCATGGATTACTATCAGTGACTCTGTCACGGTGCTGATGAAAACTCACATACTTTACTTTGCGAGGTGAGCTTATGATATGAATGTGCATACCATTTTCCACTGAAGCTTTGCATGTTCTAGCTTTCTTGCTATTTCTTGCTTCAGATTCGTTTATTTGTCTCCAGCAATCTCAGCGGTATGCCCATCTATCATCTGACCTTCTGCTGATTTTTATCATTTATATAGGATCAATATTCCATGGAAACGCAAATTTATAAGGGTGTCCTTCAAATTCTGACGCTTGTCCAGAGCTTTGTGCTGGGACCACGCCTCATCCTTAGCGTTCGAGAACATCAGGCTAAGCTCACGGCTGAGTCTGATGCGGGGATCAGCATGAATTCGATGGTATTTCAAGATCGGATGCATGTGTCAACTGGCAGTGGTGTGTAGTATGGGAGGCTGTGATAAAAACTTAATGGGTACTCTGTAGGGAGCAGCAGAATTCTACGTTCCTAGAAAGATTACTACGTGTAAGCGATTGATGTCGAGTGCTTTCAATTGTCCAGTATGAGAGTATAGATGATGCTATGAGTGGAACTACGTGGCAGATCTTACACATTCTTCAAGACCCCTCAGATTGCCTCCAACGCACTTTCCTATCCTCACAGAACATTTTGGTAGATGAATTCAAGAGAATGATGTTAGACGCGTTACCGGGCGATTACGGTAAGCATGAATGCAAGTAATCTCCCCTGCGACCAGCCTATGCGACGACATTCAATGGATGTCGAGTGACAAGGACCGATGATGGAGAAAGCTGTACTCGACCTAAGCACAGTTTCATTCGCACATGGGCAGCTATACACGGCATTGAAGCGCTTTTCATACAAGAGGAAAAGACAACAATAAATGTAGTTTACAGATATATCCTATCAGTCACAGTAGTAAGTGAACGGAGCGCGTGATATACGGAGTACAAGATAGCAAGCAGATATTTCAAACAGGCGCATCTTCACCGTGTTCTCGGGAACTTGGTTCCTCGTGCGCCGAGCCAGGTGCATGCATCTCACGGAGCGCAAAAAGACTGTGCTACCCTGCTTTGTACAGAAAGGGGCACGCCCCAGGCCTTGAGATACTCCTTTACCTCCTGAAGGGTTGGCTCTTGTTCACTGTGTGGCACTGATTAGTTTCCAGGAACAGCTTATATCAAGCAACTTACCCAGCCGAGATTCGTGTCAATTTCATGACGGTCTCAATGTCCATTCCTATGAGCATCATTAACACTGCGTCAGGTCATCCAGTGTCAAACATGACATTACCATCGAGTTCGTACCAAGATATCTTCACAATCTCCCGAAGGAAGGTCAACGCCTCAGTGTCCCTCGCGGTAGGACGGAATGCGTGCTTGCTGCTAGAGATAGTTTCCGCAGGTCATCTCGGCCGAAGAGTTGTAGCCAACGTCGGTGACGAGCTGGCAGAATCAGGCAGATCGAGATCAGGGAATCTGATGGCTGCAACAGGGAAAAGTTAGTCATACAGTCGGGCCAGATAGCCGGGGTACGCACTGGCCGTGAATGGCCTGAGTAGTGCCTGCTGCTTGTCCGACGACACTGCGAGCCAGAGACAGATACATCCGGGCGAAGAGTTTAAAAGATTGACATCCTCGGCTTTGTCAGGATGAATCCTCATCTTGTGTACGCCAATTCTCAGTTAGCATAATTTAGTGTTCAGGTCGGAAGACATGTGCATACCAATTTAAATAATGCATTACTTTTCCAGTTGCAAAGCAAGACTGTGTTGACTTGTGCTCCTAGCCTGTTTGAAGGTCGATCCGTTGTGAACAGCGCACACCAGGGACCAAGTATCCTTAGACCATGAGCATGAAGTGGAGGAGATAGATATCCAACGGAACTAATGCCGGTAAGGAAAGCGCGCGTTCGAATAGCAGCTGCTGAATGCGGAGACATCCCTCTTAATGAGAGGAAGCAGATATATGGTAATCCCGTTCTGAAAATGGTTTGTCGACACCTATTTGATTGGAGGCATTTGAAGACAACCACTGACCTGAGATGCATCCGTAGGAGAACAAGAAGGCCCTGCAGTACATCAGCGGCATGAAATCGAGTGATCTCATCGATTCGGCCATGGTATGTTGAATGTTGAATCGTTTCCCCGTGGACAATAGTTGATGCCACTGTTTAGATGCATACAAAGCTATATTTTGAGAGTAGCTAGTGAAGTTATTCTCATCCAAAGTTGAACGGCAGTACGAAGCAATTGGACGCATCGTCCTGTTTCCCTCCACCTGAGGGAAGTCAGCGCCCGCGAAAAGAATATCGTCAGTGATGCGGACGCGGCATTACACTCCAAACCTTCTCGATTTAGCTCACACAGGTATGGAGCGCGAACCAGTCCACAAATAGGTTTGAGTTGCTTACACATCTGCGAGAGGGTCAGTCCGACGCGTACATGTGGGGAGACATGAAGGCAGCTACCTTGGAAACACTCTCCATGTCACTCATAGGTGTCGGATCGAGAAGATATACAAGCATACCGTGAGGCAGGCAAACGTGTCAGACATCGGAGAACATTGGTCAACGTCCAAAGCCTAAGTCCTTGGGAAATCTATCGCACAAAATATGTTGGGTCGAAACTCAGACCATCTATATGTTGTTCATATGTATTCTGTCCATATCAGTGCAGCTTGTGAGCACAACCAACGTTGTATCGCGTGGAATCGGTATCCCGAGGAGTCGACAGTCACGCTTGTTCGCAGCGCAGAATGCGAGGAAGGGTGACTACAAGTTTCAAATTGCGACGAAATTGCGAGGTTCTTGAGCCTCAATGAATCGTTTTGCGACGCGCCGGGATGGGGCCATCCGCGTGAAGATCCGATTTTTGTGTTTTGACAACTAGTACACATGCAGGTCCGCCGTTCAGCAGTGCATTACAACATGGTAAACCCCAGGTTCAGAAACCGCTGAAGAAGCGAATCATATGGAGTTTCAGAATAAAATTTAGGACAAATGAGGCGGAGACTATCAATAAGTAAGTACAGTCTCACGAAGAACGAGGCTGATGTAATAATATAGTTTAATTTCAAATCCAACAAGCCCGTTTAGCTCAGTGGTAGAGCGCGCCACTCGTAATGGTGAGGTCGGTTGTTCAATCCAGCCAGTGGGCAGGTGTTTTATTCCTTTGTCTTTTGGTAGGGTCCGTTGTAACGTGCTCCAGATCTTGACCTAGTACACAGTTTGTCGGACTTATTGTACATCTTCCGTATTTTTTTTTCATGGACGCATTTCATTGATATCATGATATTTCGACCAGTAGCTGTCAACAGCAAACGAGCACAGCCATAGCCACCCTGTCAAAGTCGCTGAGGCAGGCCGCATCATTCGCATCATGCGGCTGAAGTTTTGATCGCACAAGCGTCAAGTGCTCTGTGGTTTGCTAAGAAGATGGATTGCACACCGCTGGGAAGATAAACATATTATTATGATCGACCCAAAAACCACACCTGACAGGCTGCATATCGTGATAGCGGTGCTGGTATTCTAGCTGGAAATTCGCTTCGAACATTTAGCCAGAGCTGACATGGACACATGGAATCCGCTGCAGGAGCATACAGCACACAAGTTCCTAGAGAAGTTTACTCCCCTGGTGCGCATAGTTCCCTGACCACATTCTCATCGATCCTCTTCTCCAAACATATCTCGAACGGAGCAATATATATTTAGAATGCAAGCACATCAATCTTTGCTGCAGGACTCTCCGAAAAGCAGAGATCCCACAGAACAAGAGCCGTGTTGATGAAGACCGGCTGATCCGCGACATGTTAACCATGACACTCTGACATTTTCGAGTCAGGCATGAGAAATGGTCGAGAGATGAACGATACCACTCACCAGCCAAAGCCAAAAGTGAGAAACTTTTCGGAGATCACCGTGCACACGGCATGCATCGTCAATCCAACGCTGAGGATTAAATGTGTGTGGTTCTGGCAAGACGAGCGGGATCGTTTGCAATAGCCCTGAAACACGAGCATCAGGTAGAAAAGTCAGAAGACGAAATAACCAACGTCCAGGCGGTAATGGTAACCGTCTTGCATCATTGTTTCACACTCCAGACGCTGGCTAGGACGATAAGGGGGGTACATGCAATGATAATCGCCATTGAAATGGTTGATGGTCACGATACCCCACCACTTCGCAATAAGTTAAGTACTCCAGAACAGAGTGGTTAGTTGCCATGATGGGCAACAGATACAGTGAGATTACAGTGCATAGTCGCACTAACTTATACAAAGACAAGTCACGAATACTGTATTGGCTTGAGAAACGTGTCGTGCGGGCGCTTAGTAATTGCCATCCCCTTCTCCCACTTCATGGGAGAAGGGTTTTGTCAGACGCAAACATGCTCATTTTTCTGTCAATGGACGTGTCGTGGGAATTGATTACATACATAACTGAGACATTACGATTCACTGTCTTTGTTCATTTATTTTCACTGCCTTCAGCCAGACCCAGTGAGAAACGGTCCTAGCCATATCTCCGGAAAATGACGGAAATATTGTCACAATATTCACGTTGATTTCCGGAGTAAAATGAGAATTATAGTCGATTTTTAGCGACTCACATTGAGCAAGATATTGTATCATCGATTGTGTTTGTGTACCATAGATTCTAGTATATTCCCATAGCTCCCAATTGACTTGTGCATATTTGCTCATCAACGCAAATCGACCAAAAATAATTGTATTATGAAAAATTACAAATACAATACTCTATATACCATAGCACCCCCACCCGCGCATTAGGATGACGTAGTCCACTAGCTTCTGGCACATGGGAGTCCTTGACCGAAACAAATCATTGTCAGAATATACTTGCCAGGCAAGTAGACAGTACTTACAATGATGGCAGCTGCCTCGTTCTACAGCAATAGATATCAGTTAAAGTACATTAGGTAGCTTTTAATGGAACTCACCAATTGACTGTCTTGTAACGGTGTATCTGTTGAAGCTGCTGGATGTGTCGATCATCAGGACAATGGTATTGAGCTAGCGATGATGTAAAACAGTCAGTGAATGAACCTGACAATGCCAAATAACTCACAATGTTCAAAATATGTGCATATATGCACCGTGAATAGCGCTTACTTGTCACAAGAACGGCCGACGGTTGAGTGGGTGGGATCAGCAAATGGATTGAGCCATGAAAAAGCCTAATACTTATCTTGTTAGTGGCCATGAGAAAGTTATGTGTCAGATGATGCCAGGATGGTTGATGTTACAAGTAACATCGGCTACATGGCCCCCCTATCATTTTTCCCCTTTGTCCTCGCCCTCGTATGCCTCCGGCTCGTACTTCTCTACCGACTATCCGTTGACCGGATCCTCAGGACCGTTCCCGTCCCTCGTCCCCCTCCTATCGCACCAACGTGCGCACGTGCCTTCGGGCTATGACTCGTTCTGACTTGTGCCACCAATGTGGCTTTCCTTATCTTGGCTTATCTTTCCTTTGACTCGTGCATGCTGCACATTGTATCATTTACCGTTGGCTCGTTCCAACGTTTCTCGGTCTCATTCCACATTCGACCTTACATCACTAATCAGGCTCTGCTACCAGCGTACCTATACCCTTTCCGTTTCCCCTTTGCCCTTACCTACAGTACGGTAGCCTTGCCCTTAACCCTTTCCACTTAGTATAAGTAGTCGGTCACTCTGTACTAGATTCCCTAACTTGAATCTACTCAATCTTCCCTCGAACATACTTCCCTCTGAAGCCCCCTCAGCTTCAGTCTCTAGTATCTTTTCTTAGGTGCTCATCGCGCCTAAGTCTACCTCGATCGACTACCTCATCGTTCGGACAAGACTGTCCTTACTTTGAGAACGTCAGTGACTTTGAAGACATCCGTCTTAGAAGTCACGTGACACGCGCGTCTCTGATATCTGCCGACTCGACGTCGCCAGTCTCAGTCGCCACACCGGACCCTTCCGGTTACGTCACGAACATTAGCGGACGACGCCCCTCTTAGGGCTCCGCATAACAGATCTATTTGAGTGCGTAACAGTTGAGGTCAACGGCAAGGTTTTGCTGAGAGGAAGATGAGATGATGGAGGGGAAGAAGAAAGCTGAGATGAAGTGAGTAGGGATGGAATGTCCCAATATTGGTCCGCTGCATATTGACGTCATTGCGTGAAGTGATGGTGCGTGCGCAGCTGATGCGCAAGAATGTTCAAACATTGAAATATTGAGCAAAGTCAAGTCAAAGTTGAAAGAATTTCAACATGTTCAACATTTACTGAGCGCATTGTCAAATGTGTATTTGAAACCCATTTGATAATTGATCGAGCGTTGTTGACATATTGTTTACATTTATTGATTTGCGTAGTTATTACAATATTCCTGGCATATATTTTATATCATCGTCGTTTGCCGTAGATATCGCTAGGACCGATTTTCACTGGGCTTGAGACTCCGTACTCTCGACCCAATATTGCCTATCGTCTTTTTTTACCTCCGGTGCCCTGTGGTGGGACTCGTACATTGTGATGTTAGCTTAGGCCTGACTGACTGTTATATCCATGAATGGGAGGACTTAGAGGAGCCCATGAGAATTCACATGGAAATTGTGAGAGTACAAGAAACGATCAAGGTATCGGAGTATCAGAGTCGGGGACTGGTGCTCGCCGCTGCTACGATTATGTAACCTTGTGGCAATCACGTCTGCCAATAGTTGTGCTCTGCCTTCTCCTAGGATGTGGCACAGAAGCGCGGACTATTAATACTGATGTAGGCAGTGGTCTCAGACGCGCCGCTTGAAACGTTCTTCAATCCCTTCGAACAGGACAACTTCAGAGTTTTAATCACTTTACATTGACACACTCCTCCATGTCAGGTTCATCAACACCACAGGATCTTCCTGTAACACTCCTGCCGCTCACATCGCAACAACGTGATGAGATTGATCGAGACTTACTTGAGGCCAATGGCCCCATCCTGAATATTATCAGTACTAGTGAAGATAAAGAGGCTACCACATCGGATCTCTTGGACAACCTGCTTTTCTCGATCATGTCACAAACTCTTTTTGTGGCCAGTAGATTGCTCAAACGTGAACACCTGGAGGACAATCTTGACCTGGACATGGCAAAGAAGGAAACACTACAGAAGCATCCTCAAGTATGGGAAATCATCCGTCACGCCTGTCAGACGCGCTTGTTCTCTCACATCACTGACTTCAGTGAGTGTTCGTGTCAGCGACATCATGTCCCTCTGTTGACAGTTGCTGGAAATGCAGCAATATTTCAAATACCTCAAGCTAGCGATCCCGTGCGGTCGTCTTCAGGTGAGAGACTTTTATCTTGCAACATCTACAGTCACATCTCAGGTCAGTTGTATCCTAGATGAGGACCGATCAGACTTTCTTTAAGATTCATTCGTCAGACCTTACGTTGGCAAGGCTGCGGACAGTTTCTATGAGTACCTGAAAAATAACGACATAAAGTTCACGAGTGGCATACATAGACCATACTATGCTAAGTTCTGTTCGATCATCCAAAGTTCTGGTACAGGAAAATCAAGACTAATGACCGAGGTCGGCATTTTACGGTCCATGTTCATATCAGGTGGCTAAAGCATCGAATTTAGCTCTGGAACAAAGGTGTTACTGTTTTGTACATGAATCTTCATGATCCAAGTGATCTGGGCTTCCCTATGCGAGACCTAGTGCCCACGCGTATATTAACTGAAGATACAGACTGCACTGCAACCGAGTATTCCGCCCGTTGTTGCGCGTTCTTTACAGCCATATTTCAGACACTTCAGGAGGATCTGAGCAGCAAACTACCTCGGCCGCGCTGTAGGGATTCATTTCTGGTTGGGCTTGTAGAGACTGTTTTTACCTTACCTTATGTTGGCACTTTTGTAGCTTACATAATCAAGCAATCTTTTCACCAGTTACCAGTATGAGTCAGAGTCCTCAGTAGTTTTTATGATATTTCCTCTCCTCTGAGCCTTGAGCCTGGTCCAGAAACCCTTTAGGGTCGAATAGCAGCTAGGTTCTGCAAGACCCAACACATTGTTCAGACTCACCATCTGAATTGTTGTACCTTCAGCGCTCTGGCAATCCTGATCCTGTAATCAAATCATGGAATGACCAAATGTGCAATATGCGCTCAAGTGCTCGTTCCGAGTTCTTTCAGAAAGTTCATTCTTGATATCAGGAGGTGAGCAGGGAAAGTCATAGTCTCTTGACAGATGAACTAAAGAAGTTTGCAACAGACCCTTACCAAGATCAAAATACCAAGCCCCGCAGAGAAAACTGACGTGAACCCCACTGTGCTAACAGTGGAGGAGACCGCCACAAAGTTAGGGAGTATGTCTCTCACAGGTAATTGTTGTAATTTGCACAATGCAGCCATCTGAGCTCACACTGCGTAAACAGACGAGAAGATTGTGGTGCCGAAATTGGAAGGCAAATCATTCATCACGACATCTTAGAACAACATGCTGATGGTTTTGCAACATATATTTACTAAGAACAAGGACGAGGTTTCAAATAATGATCCCAAACTCGTGATAGCATTCGACGAGGCCCACCCTCTGAGCAACATGAGTACAAAGGGTTTTCATCCATCACATATCATTGGCAAAACAATCAACTGTTACTCCAAGAAAAGTAATGCATCGGTCTGGGTCGTATTTGCATCCACGACCTCGCAAGTGGCGGATTTTTCAGCGCCTCAGTTGGTCCATAAGCACCTGCTATACGGTGCCTATTTCCAATCTTGAACAATCTAGCAGATGATTCTCTGCGCATAGCGGTAGCCGGCCAACTCCTCTATCCGCCCTATACACATCTTGGTTGGGACCAGAATGCAGATGCTGTGTCTGGTACATTGGCGAATAATGTCACAAGCTTTGATCACATCATTGGATTCGGTCATCCACTGTTTGTCCCTATGTTTTTATTCTTGTTTTCAATCTCATTGACCACCATGAATAGATGGAAGTCCCTCATAGGGAAATGTACTATCCCTGATGTTTTGGAACTGGCTGCCCAGAAACTCTGCAAATAGATAGAATTTGACGCGAATGATGCGAACCAAGCTCTTGCTATCCTGTCCCAGAGATTCGGTCTCGACATTTGCTTGGGTCACCCCGATGCTGTGTCTTATCTCGAAAAAGCAGTAGCTAGTTACCTGCGCATATGCTTCTCGACGACCGAAGATAGGATGTGGACCTTCACCGGTTATCCATCAGAACCCATTCTGTCTTGCATTGCAGCAATTATACTCCATAGGACGCCTAATGATGTGAATGTCGTTTTGGGGATCTTGAAAAAAAGGTTGATGATGGGATGGTTGAGATAGGACAGAGCGGGGAGTTGGCCAGCAGGCTTTTGCTGCTTCTCACTAAGGATATCTTTATCCGCAAGGACCCACTCAAGGGCGTGATCCGAGATCTACACTATAACGGAAGTGGGGATGCGGAACTGATGGACTGCCGGAAAGTCTCCGTCATCGATTTCCTGGAGTACCTATTTGGCCAGACATTCTGGTCGAGGACTGTTAAGGAGGCCAAGGCAGCTTTTCAGCATGCTTACATCAATTTCTCCCACTGGGTGTCTATGACAGAGTTCATCTCACCGCCAGTTCCTGATCAAACTGACGCTGATTCGTTGAGGCAAGCAAACTTCCAGGCATTGCAATATTATATCTGAGATTATCACCTCTGTATAGTGCTAGATGCAGCGCCGAAGAGTGGACTTTGCGACACTGGCATCGCACAAGCGCAGTCCAATGCTGTCATCTGCAGCCGCTCGTCGACAAGATGATTCCCATTTATTTTGATGACCCTGCCCTCGGCTCCGAAGATCTCAATCGCGTGTCACAGATATTTATTTCCGACAAAGTGGGGAAGAATTGCCATGAGCGTGACTTAGGGTTGGTCACTCGCACGCATGATTCAATCCAGTGCCTATCGAATCTCCCCTACATCGTCCTTCTCCTCGACTTGAATGTGAAACCAAAGCTTAACATTATGTTCCTGGAGAAGGAGCCAAATTACGTCGAAACAGACTGATGTCTGCGGATCTACGCTTCTGGAATAAGTGAAACCACATTTCCATTTTTGAGCCAACATCCCGGTGTTGCAAGCCAGCTGCGTGGGCTTGTCTCTCGGCAGAAAGAAGCACCATCCCAAACCACTTTCGAAGCCCTGGTCAAATTTGGGAGTACTGCTAGGCTACGCAACTTGCAGTGGGAATTACAAGATGCATGATAATTCAATACAACTCTAACCAGACGATTGCAGTACAGTGAAAAGCGATGTAGGGCATGTTTGTGAGGCTGTTGCAGTCAACAGCCGACACTAACAGACAACAGGCACAGATACGTGGATGAGCGTATGGGATTGAGTGGTACAGTAAGAGATAAGATACAAACAAAGGGGCAGTCAGGTCTATATACTGTTCGGTGCAAACAACGAACAAACAAATGACGATGCACAAACAAGTGACGGTGTCCAATGGTAAGCCGCAGGCTTACACCCTTTCCCATCATCTTTTTGACCTCTCTTTCTCCCAAATATCCAAAGCTTCGCAGTCTTCAACCTCCCGCCTCGATAACCACTCATTGTCCTCTTCGCCGAAGCCTACCCATCTGACCAGATACTTCTTCCCACGTCCCACCCTCCTCTCATCTACGATACAATCAATGAAGTTCTCATGTTGGCCATCCTCTGTCACAACTGGGCCCGGCCGTGGGTGTTCATGGGATGGGAAGAGGTTGGCGTCATTCATACGATAAGGGTGCAACTGACTGATGTGGAACGTAGGAAATATGTTGGGCGAATTCGGAAGATCCAGGGTATATGTCGAAGTCTCTGGGTGTGCGTCGAGTACGAGGTACGGTCCATCATACCTAGGCATAAACTTTGCAACTCTCTTGTCTCCCTTTTGAATGTACTCGCGCCGGCGATGTTTGGTTGCTAACAGAACCCGATCTCCAGACTTGAACATCATCGCGGGTGCACAATTCTTGTTGTACTCATCATCCGAGTTGGTGCCATCTCCCAACACTGCGGACGGCATAACTACAGTGACCATGTCGCTCTCCTCCTCAACCTCGACCGAAGCCACCACATTCTTCTTACTCTTCTTAGCGGCTACCGCTGCTGCAGTCAGAGTCTTGTAAGACGCTCCGTCAGGAAACCCTTTGACACAGTTTGACAATGTGTGGCCCACAAACGGCTCTCTGCACTTAAAGCATCCATTGTTCTCCCTCAACAGGAGGTGTTCGCCATCAGTGAGAGAAGGTAGGCGAGTGAACGTCATCGCGGGTGCACGATTCTTGTTGACTTGAGTTGCTTGTGAGGCCTTCGCCACAAGCAAGTTATCTTGAGCCTCCATAATGTCATGTTTGAGCTGTGAAAGCAGTGTGTTGGCCCGTTGCTCCTCCGGTGTCTTCGTCATCCATATGTCTTCTTCTTCCACTATTGCAGGTAGCACGCGCGGTGATCTTCCAAGATGTAGCTGAAAGGCAGAGAAACCGGTACTGGCGTTTACGGAATTCATGATGTGAAAGCGGACCCTTGGAAGCATGCGCACCCATCCCATGTGATTTCTGTCCACAAAGTACCGCAGACATTGGTTGACCGTCTTGTTAGTACGCTCGCTAGCGCCATCAGTCTCCGGATGGTATGCTGAAGACATCTTTAATTTAATTCCCGGTAGTTTATGCAATGCACACCAGAATTTCGACAAAAAGATCTTATTGCGGTCAGACACAATCTCTTTCGGCAGTCCATTCTCACAGTACCAATTGTCGAAGAAGAGCGATGCGAAATGTTCTGCGCTGACGTTGTCCTTGCACGGTATGAGTCTAATGTCTGCATTCAAACGATCAGTCATTGAAATGAGCATATTATACCCGCAGTCTTCAGGCAGTGGACCAATAAAATCGATCGCCACAGAGTCACCATGGTCTTCAGGAATAGGCAGCGAGTGCAGTTGCCCAGGCATCGCGGTAGTCTTTGACTTGTTCCTCATGCACTCCGCGCATGAAGGAATGTATGATTCTATAAGCTCTTTTCTCATGTTGGGCCAATAATATGACCCACGTAACAGTGCATAAGATTTATCAGCGCCAAAGTGCCCAGCGGCATCATGAGCGGTGTGAAACAGGTGCTCACGCAAGTTGTCAACCCTTGGCACCACTAAATGATCTGCGACATAGAACAGCCCTCCCTCTCCTTTCCTCAGTCCTGGCAAGGAGCCCACCAGTCCACTTAAGCATCGACACCACAGATCCTCGTCATAGCCTTTGAGGATTCTTGCACGCAAGTTCGGCTCTCACCCTCGCTACGACGTGACAACGCGTCTGCCGCAGCGTTATCCTCGCCCTTGATATAGTGAATACTTAAGTTGTATTGCGACATGTATTCGGACCAACATGCCTGCCTCCTTGAAAGATCTCATTGCGTCATGAAGTTCTGTAGGGTCCTATGATCAGTGTAAACCTCAATGTGCGCACCCAGAAGTTCCAGCCTCCACTTCTTCAACGCCCGGATAATAGCCAGCAATTCCTTTTCGTGCACCGGGTAGTTAAGTTCAGCTGTCCTCAATTGTGTGGAATCGAACGCAACTGCATCAGTAAATTCCGGGTTTTCCTTTTGACCACTTATAGCCCTTTTTTCCAACCCAGCCCCGCCAACTTATTTAAGTAGATCCCTGTACTCATTCTGAGCTTTTCGTGTCCTTTTCCAACTTATTTTCATGAGCCTGCTTAAAATGCTTATTTTAAAAGTGTGATATTGTCATATCCCGTATTCCGGACCTACATCCGATAATATTCCCACGCCTCATCCGGACCTTCGGATATCCTATCCATGTCTGCAGTCCTCTATCCATCCGGATCCCTGCACCTCCGCACATCCACATCCAGATCCCTTATCCTTCGCAGCTAGCCTGCATCATCCATCCTTGTCCCGTTGCCCTAATGCCACATCCTATATATCCACGCATCTCGTCCGGACCATATCCAATCCGGTCCGATCCGATGTATAGATCTGTTTCCTATCCAATATAAGATAAGCTTTGTAATTCATTTCCTGTGCATATAATGTTAACACAACCTATCTGGTATTCCTTGTTACTGGTACCTCGGTTATATCTATTACCGGTATGCTTACTGATCCATTAACCTATGTTCATTTCCGACTCGCATTTGTTAACCTTTGCATATGCTTCATACATAGCCTCGGACTCTGCTTATTGATCCTTCCATTATTTCTCTTAGTATATAAACTCGTGTATATGTCTTGTAGTACCTCAGTCTGAATATCATATTAGTCCTCGCACTAGTCTTCACTCTAAGTCCTCATATCAGTTCTAGTCTTCCAACTTAGTTGTTATCCATCTCAGGCCTAGGGAGTTTCTCCCTAGGCCGGAGCTCTGCTTATCTGATACTCTGCTCATCCACTCATCCGATCCTCTGTAGTTTCTGGAAGTTCATCCGGATCTTCCCCGCGGTCCTCCGGACCTATTCTGCTTCAGACTTTGTCCTTGCAGCCTTTCCTCTGTTTACTTCTACTCCGGACAAGTCCCGAGTAGTCATTATACATATCCGTATCAGGACGAAACCTCATTGTAATTTCCGGAAGTTCCTCCAGAACTTTCCTGCACTCATCCGGAAGTTACTTGCACCCGTCCGGAAAGTCCTTCCGAAGTTTCCCGCACCTTCGGATGTCCTTCGGACGTCTTCAGACTTTCCTCAGACACCAATCTGAAATTAAGGGCACATACTCGGGTAAGGGGCACAGTGCACGAGCTGAAGCCAAGCCCCTCAGAATCAGTCCTACCCTTTGTGCATGGTCTTAACAGATATTGTCAAAAAAAGTAGAATAAGTGGATGATAAAATGTGTGAAAAGGAAAGAAAAAGTAAGGAAAAAGGAGAAAGGAGAAATAAAGCCTGTAATGGGGACATTTACATGAATCAGTCCATTAGAAGTAGTTCAGTGTAAGCAGTGCGGCATAGTAGTAGAGAGTGGAAATGATTGAGATTCTGTGAAGATACATCATAGTATAGTAAGAGATATTCTGGTGAAATATGTCAATGAGGCGCTGAACAGAGACAAAAAAACACTCACAGAGCAGTGCGCGCTCACCCCTGGAAGATGCGACAGTGTCGTCAGCAAGAGAACCTTTCATGCTAGCTTCCGAGCCTGAATCCTTGACAAATTGATGGGCCATTGCGATCGTGTCTGTCGTGTATTTCAGGCCACGCTTGACAATGGAGGAGTAGTAGTCTGTCGTGAATTGTCCCCAGTTTAACTCGGAAAAGGCCAGTGGAGTGTTGCTTTCCTTGCCGGTGTAGAAACAACAATACAATGAGGAACAAAAGAAGCTCCTGACTGTATCTGTAAAAGTTGTAAGGTCGCGCGCTGCCTAGTCTGCGTTACTTGAGAAGCAAGTGCGTTCGACCCTATAGGGGAAGTGAGTGCAGCAAGGATCTAGAAGTGTGCGCTTAAGCGAAGCGCGAGAAAGCGCAGGAGCGCGCAAGGTACAAAGGCGCGGGAACGCGCGCGCGTATTAGCGCGAAGCGCGGGAAAGTGCGCGCGCGTATGCGGAAATGAGAAACTAAGCTTAAGTAGTGATATAAAGCAAGATAAGAGATATAAGAGTGCAAAATGTAAAGGAATAGCTTTCTACTATATTCTGCTAAGTAGTAAGTGGGTAGTAACTAGTAAGTGAAAAGTAGGAAAAGTAGGTTAAGGTGAAAAGTAAGTGGAAAACTTGTGTGTCAGCGCTTATATAGCGCGCCTAAGCGCGGTCATGCGGAGCCGAAGCGCTACCGAGTAGGTATGTAAAGATATATATAAGTAAGGGTCCATTATAAAAATAGAGGTGGAATGATATGCTAATAAAAGAAATGGACATATACGCACTAGAGGGTTTGGTGGACAGTGGATGGATGCTTCTGGATGGCTGGCGCCATAGGGCGCGCAAGCGCGGGAACGCGCACGCGCGTATACATCGCGAAGCGTGGGAATGGTGCGCGCATGGCGCGGGAAAGTTGCGCCTCGTATAGGGATAGCTGCGGGTAGCACACGGAGTGACACTACAAGTTCGTGCTATGTACTCCTTGGTGGGAACTGCCATATCATGCCATGAGAGGCATGAGTCTCTACATCTCCCAGGGACTTTGAATTCTGAGTGTCCCCACTCAGCGCGCGCGTGGTGAGGATTTTGCGTGATAGTATGCGAGTGCGATGCATGTACAATGCTTGGGTTGTTG